ATTATTATTATTATTATTATTATTATTATTATTATTATTATTATTTAGTTTCTCACGATATTATCTATCGGTTTCCTTTCTAGGTGCGGAATAGCCTCAAGCACATAGAAGGTGTAGGTGGTGGGTTTTAAATGTCCTGGTAAGTAGAGAGCGTCTTTCTACAAAGGCTACAGGTATCTATGATGACAGATTTTTGTAATTTATTTATAATGTTTTCTTTCAGGTTGATGGATTTTAAGTTCGGTCCAAGATTTTTTGGAATTTCTCCAGTTGCTCCAAGAATGATCGGGACTATAATCGTTTGATCTTGTTGCCACATTTCTCGGACTTCTGCTGCTAATGGTAAGTATTTTGTTATTTTTTCTCTGTTTTTCTTTTCCAGGTTTGTCACGTTAGGGATGGATATTTCTATTAGGTATGTAATGCGTTGATCTTTTCGCTGTAGAACAATGTCGGGAATATTGTGTTGTATTGGTCTGTCAGTTATTATTTGCCAATTCCAGTATATCTTCGTTGTTTCTGTTTCTATCACATTCTGAGGGCTGTACTTGTAATATGGGACTTTGTCTGTCGCAATTCCTTCTTCTTTGCATACTTCTTGATGTATAATTTTGGCTACGTTGTTATGCCTTGTAGTGTATTCGGTGGCTGCCATAACAGTACATCCGCTTACTATATGGTCAATAGTTTCTGACTGCACACCACATAATCTGCATTTATCATCTATTCTTTGATCTCCTATTATATGTTTTCTATAATATTTAGTATTTACAACTTGGTCTTGGATTGCTATCAAAAATCCTTCTGACTCTGAGTATATATATCCTAGTTGTAACCACTTGTATGATGCATTGCTGTCAATATGTTCTTGCTCCATGATCTGCGGATGTTTACCATGGAGAGGTTTTCTTTTCCAGTTATTCATGTAATTGTCTATGGTCGTGATGTTTGCTTCTGTGTCGTATACATAGTTGTGCAGATACAGCGGTGTTATGTTAGTATCTAATTTTATGGCGTTTCTGATTAATGTTGTGTCACGTGCTTTCATATAAAAATACTCCCTTAGATGTTTAATTTGGCGGTAATGTAGATTGGTGATCGATGTTAGCCCTCTGCCACCTTTGGACCTGGGGATGTACAGCCTTTCTATTTCACTTCTGGGGTGGTGCACTCTGTGTTTGGTTAGAGCTGTTCTAATTCTTCTGTCAAGGTCTTGTAGTTCTGTATTAGTCCATTTAATTATTCCAAAGCTGTAAGTTAACACAGGGATTGCAAAAGAATTAATGGCTTTGAATTTGTTTTTTGCCCACAATTCTGTTCTCAAAATTCGATTCAGGCGTTGTTCAAACTTTTTCATAATTTGCGTCTTAGACGTATTGCGGTCTATACCTCTTGCTTGTATATAGAAGTATTTGTACAATTCTTGCTCTTCCATACTGCTTATTTCCTCGTTTTGTCTGGTTTGATATGTTTCTATTTGTTCCCACTTGCCGTTTTTCATGGCATTTATTTTACATTTATCAATTCCAAAATTCATTCTTAAATCTGTGCTTATTGTTTCGACACATCCTATTAATTTATCAAGTTTGGTTTTTGATTCTGCGTATAATTTTAGGTCATCCATGTAAAGAAGATGTGTTACGTTCTGTTCTTGTATTTTTATCCCTTGCATTTTATTGAGTCTGCGGGACATTGGGTTAAGCGACAGACAGAACCATAATGCACTCAGGGAGTCTCCTTGAAAAATGCCTTTTTTGACTTTAACGCTTCCGATCTCTTCTGCTGGTCCATTGTTCACTCTAAGTGTAGTTTCCCATTTTTCCATACTCATTCTTAAGAATTTTGTTAATACTGGATCTATTTTGTATATTTCCATTATTTTCAACAGCCATGTATGTGGAACGCTGTCAAATGCCTTTCTATAATCTATGTATGCTGTGTATAGATTCTTTTTTTGCTTTTTTATTTGGCCTGTTATTATTTCATCAATAATTAATTGTTCCTTGCATCCCCTCGCTCCTCTCTTGCATCCTTTCTGTTCTTCTGTGATGATTTTATTTTGTTCTAGATGATTATAGATTTTATTTGTTATGATAGCAGTAAGTATTTTATATAGCGTAGGAAGACAGGTTATGGGTCGATATTTGGCAGGGTTGGCAGCTGGTGGACTCGTCTTTGGGATAAGGTAGGTAACTCCTCTTGTCATAAACTGGGGCATTGTAGTAGGATCGCGAATAATGTTATTAAAATACTTCGCTAATGTGTTATGGGTGGATGGGAAGTTCTTTAGCCAGTAGTTATGTATACCATCATTTCCAGGTCCTTTCCAGTTGTGTGTCTTTTTGATGACCTCACTTACTTCTTTAGGTGATATTTGATCTCCGTTCATCGTTCGTATATCACCTATGGATTTTATTTCTTCTTTTATCCATATAGTTTCTCTATGAGACTCCTCATTTTCCCAGATGTTTTTCCAAAAGTTTATAGTTTCCTCTTTATTAATTTCTGTATTTACATTTTTATTTGGACTATCGTTGTCAAGACTGGCATAGAACTGTTTTTCATTCGCGGTGAAATTTCTGTTGTGTATACGTCTGTTATAATTTTTTTGGTATCTTTTTAATCTTTTTGCCGTCGCGGCAAGGGATTGCTTCAGGTAGTCTATAATTTCGATATCTGTTTTGTATGTATCATTCATGTATCTTTTAAGTATTGCATTACCCTTTTCCTTAGTTTTTTTACTAGCACCTTCTCGCCTAGCTTGTGTCAGACGTCCTATTGATCGTCTAAGGTCATTTATTTTCTTTTGAAGTCGTGTTATCCAAGGAGCTTGTCTGTTGTGATATTTGCTTTTGTTTACGGAGCTATTGAGTTTTGGTTCTTGTTTATGAATTTTCAAGGTGGTTACTGCTCCGATATATATTAGAGTATGTAGTTCTTGTAGATTTTGGATTGTTTGGATTCTATGCTCGATGATCTTATCTACTTTATTGAGTATTGCTTTGGTATTACCATTGATTATTATTATTACTATTACTATTACTTATCTACTTTATTGAGTATTGCTTTGGTATTACCATTGATTTTTAGTTTTGGCAGTTTCGGTCGATAGGTTACACCCATTTCAGAATATTTTGCATATAATTGGTCAAATATTGTGCTTGTTTCATCTCTAGTTGCTTCATTTTCTCTTACTTCTTCATCTTGAGTGTCATGAATGTTGTTTCCATTTTCACTGTGTTCATCTTCGTGTTGTGTTATTCCAAGTTCTATCTCGGCCTGTACTCTTATTTGTTGTAACTCGGTAGGTGTGAGTCTATTATTTAACATTAGTGATCGTCTCTGATCTAATATATTTTGAATTGTTTTTGTCCCTAACTCTGGAAATCTGTCTGTAACTCTTCTGTGTAGTTCGACACTGTATGGAGTATTATTTCTTTCAAGGTTGGTAATAATGTAGTAGCTTAGAACGATATATTTATTTATTTCAGGTGTCCATTTCGTCCTTCGCCTGTTCATTGGTGCCGCGGCAGGGTTGGGCTGAGGATTGTTTTCCACAGCAACAATTTCCTGGGCAGCTCGATGTACGTTCCTGATTCGTTGCGGTGCTATGGTCCTGTTTCTGAGGGTGATGCCATAGACTTCATCATGACCCTCAGCAGGCTGTGAACTAGTTGCACCAGATGCAGCCTGGTCATCTGGTGTATCCGAGGCTCTGGTTCTTCTATTTGGGACTTCTTTTACACGTCTATGGGGAGTCAGCCCGTTCGACGGCGAACTAGGACCGCGGGGTCGTTACATCCCGTCATCCAGTTTAGGATGTCCTTGCAGTTAACTAGGACCCGTGGGGGCGTCACTCCCCAAGAAGTAAGACAAGTCATACTTCCCCATGCGGGGTTATTATTATTATTATTATTATTATTATTATTATTATTATTATTATTATTATTACTATTACTATTACTATTATTATTATTATTATTATTATTATAATTATTATGAGAATACACTAAAAGATTTTAAAACAATTCATTACCGATTACAAAGCTATGAAAACAAAAAAGTCATTTTAAAATCTTAATATTTATTTTGCTTGCAAAAGCTATTTACAAATCAATGCATATTATTCTTGAAAGCCATTCAGATGTAAAAGCATTCCTTTGAATCTGTCGCTAGTTTTTTCACTGAAGGGAAAAGTTTCTCGTTTATAAATTAAACCTGTTGACTTTCATTGTCTTCTGTTTCATTTTATTTCTAGTTGATTTATTGAACAGTCATGTGTATTTACTTCTCAGTAAATATTCGGAGTTTCTAAAATAGTTACTAGCTTTCTCGGTAGAAAAAAATCCTACGAACAAGTTTCCGTTTTTAATAGGTACTCAGCTAAAAAAATGATAGTCTTAGTAGGTGTAGGTGATTTGACGTAGAATGACCCAGATATGAAATATTCAAGAATTGGCAAATAACATTGTTGGTTTATATGAGATAATCCAAAATTTACCTGGAATTTGTGTTATGGTAAAATATTTCAGCGACTATTACATTTTATGGTTTTCTTTTTATAATTGAAGCTCCCGTGTAAATTCCTATGTTTTTTTGTTCAAAAACGATTGCATTTATGAAATACTAGAAGCGATTAAATTCATTACAAATAAATTAAGCCATCTAAAACCGATATTTAAATGACCATATTGGCGATAGAAGAAAAATAACGTAAAAAATTGTTTGTGGGGATGATTATCTCTACCCCTTGCAACCGAAATACTCAACGAAATTTGTACTTAATATCATTCTTGTAACTTTCTCCATATTTAAGGAAAGAAAACTAAATTTTTGTCTATCAGTTTAAAAGGTCGTAAATCCCCATAGAAGGGGTAGAGAGATTTTTTATATTAAAGTTCCATTTTAATTTTCAAAGAAGAATCGCCTCCTTAATTTTTTCGTACTAATTTATTTAGTCTGTACATTTTCATATTAAATATTACGGTTTAGCATTAATATACGGCACATGCTAAATTCAAATCAAATGCAAACGAATAGTTTGAAGAATGTAACTATTTCAAAAAGGCCACAGCAAGTTGGAAACATCGGTGTAAAGAAAGATTGTTCGGAAACAGATAAAAGAAATATCTTAGAATTATCCCCCACAAAAAAAATTCCCGATTGTCTAGTCCTGAAGTTTACAGCATTATCCTGGATTCCGTTCATTATCTTTTACCGTATCAATCATTTTTCCCCTTCGGACTTATATGGAAGAATGAGAGTGGACTTAACACTTTCCGTCAAGAATGAGCTTTTGTGTGGGTGGTTGAATATTATGGGATTTATTTCCAGGAAAGTTTATGATTCTTGGGAAGCTGTTCGATGGCAGAACTAATACAAGACGCTTTCCCTTTTTTTCTCCTTTGAAGGGTATGATGAATTTTGAACCTCAACGAGAACAACAACTATTTGACGTCAACAAAATTTATACGAAAACGGTTGCAAATGTTTTAAATATATTTTAGAAATTGAAAAATAAATAGATTAATAGGTACTATAATAATAACTGTTTAAAAAAATATTGGTATAAAACTGCATCTTTTCTGAATTTCATGTTTGAGGGCAATTTATTTTAGTTCTATCTTGTTAATTCCAAACATAGTATCCGCAAAGTGCTTATAAATTAAGTTTTCTGATATTTTCTCGTAATCTCAAAACTCTCTAATTTCACTACGATGAGATCAACGGATCTCTAACTTCATTGCAATGATATCAAAGGATCTCTAACTTCATTATGACGAGATCAACGGATCTCTAACTCCATACGATGATACCAACGGATCTCTAATTTCGTTACGATGAGATCAACGGATGTCTCACTTCATTACTATGAGATCAGCTTATCTCTAACTTTATTACGATGAGACCAACGGATCTCTAACCTCATTACGACGAGATCAACGGATCTCTAACTTCATTACGACGAAATCAACAGATCTCTAACTTCATTAGGATGATATCAACGGTTCTCCGAGAAATCTGAGGATGGCCTCTATTAATTTTTTTGTTTTGGCTTTAGATCTAGAACGGGAATTCGTTCAATAGAGAGAGTTAGATATATTGTGAATATATGCAACTCGTATATTTTTGACAATATCTCTTATATTTTTAGATATTTGGATACATCGCTTCATTGGTATTAGAGTGGTATTAGGTTTGATAGGTATACAGGGTGATTCATTAGTAATGGGACAGAGCTTAAGGGCATGTTGCTGACCTCAAAATAGAGCGATTAAGTCAAATATGCCTTATCCGAATGTTGCTTCTTTTCGATCTACAGGGTGTTAAAGTTAAAAAAATATTTTCGATTTTTTTAAATATCTTGAGCATCTTTGAACGGATTGTCTTGAAAATTTGTACACCTATGTTTTCTGAGGTAGTAATTACGGAAATGGTAACTATTTTGCAATCACATCTAGGATGCGCTAGTTGTAGTGTTCCGTCGGAGTAAACATATGTCAAACTTTTTTGTCCTTCAAAAATCTGAATTTCCAATAAGAAATTATTAAACTACGTTCAATTCTAAATAAAAAAGATATACCTGTTAAAAATCGATAAACTTAACCGTTTTCGAAATAAGAACGATTTACTATTTCTTTACAAAATTATTTGTTTGAACGTACGCCTTTAAATAAGATGACTTAATTACGAATTAAGACAAACACAGTAACAACTGAAAATTTTATTATGCTTAAGTCTAATTACAAAAGATTCTCAAAGTGGCGACCATTGTTTTCAATACATTTTTTTATTCTCTCGTTAAAATTTTGTCTGACACTGAATAGACTT